AAAACCCTAGCTGCGTCTTCCCCTATTCCTGCGAGTGCTTCAGAGAATCAGAAGTTCATCCTCTCCTGCTCCTGGTTTTGTGAGCTGCAAGCGTTTTGAATCTGAGCAATGGCGACTGCAAGAACTGTGAAAAACGTCTCTCCTCAGGAATTCGTCAAGGGTTATGCTGCTCACCTCAAGCGTTCTGGCAAGGTATTCTAAATATTTGTGTAAGAATTTATTTTGCTTTATGTATGTAATTTATTTATGAATGTTAATTTTGAGCATTGAAACTGTTATGCAGATGATTTCACGGGGAAATTTTTTTATATATTGTGTTAGAAATAAACATGCAGTAGATTTTTAGGTGAAAAAATGGGGGACTGAAGTTGGTAGTGATGGGTAAAACCCATTTGAAAAAGCTGTATTTCTTACCTTATTGATAGGTACAATGTGGCGTGCTGTAGCCTATATTATCAATGTATTCTGTGAATTTGGTTATTATCTAGAGGATGGATAACAATTGGCTGTGTGTTCGTGGCTGGTCCATACTTAAAAGATGGACTTGAGCAGAGGCAAAATGACACTCATATTGAAAATCTGAACAAAACTGAATTAGATAGGCTCCAGCTTTGGAGCAATAGATCTTGGCTTTTTTGGCTTTGATTGTTATAAGCTTCTGAAATACCGAAAACAATAAATCTGAAGAACAGAACAAGTAAATTTACCATTTGTTGTAAATATTGATGTATCTTTTGCTCCTTTTAGGACACCGCTTCTCCCTAACTGAAAACAGGAACAAGATCAGAACTCCCAAAACAACAAAAAGTAGCTGCGACTGTGACTTTATTTCTTCTCTATTACGTAATTGTTTAATCATTTTTCCTAAACAGATGGAGCTTCCCGAGTGGACTGATATTGTGAAAACAGGTGTACTCAAAGAATTGGCTCCATATGATCCGGATTGGTACTATGTTAGAGCTGGTAATGAGCTCCCCCTCTCTCCTCTTTTTCCATAACTGTATAGGTGTGCTCATGTTCTTTTGTTTGTGGATTATACTTGCAAATTAGAAAAAAGAGATAATTAGGGTCTTGAAGTTGCACTGGAATGACTATTTTTACTCTGGATGCGTTTACAAATCAAGTAAATTAATTTTCTAATAATTGGAATCCTTCAAAGTTAATTCAAAGCTTAGAGATTATCTTATTACTGGGTTTTCATATTCCAACGAGGATGATCTATTATTCTATATAATAATCTCTGTGGCATATATCTGACAGTATTGTTGTTATGCCAAATTTTTATCTTGCATCTTTTATCATGTATTGCAGCTTCCATGGCAAGGAAAATATATTTGAGGGGGGGTATTGGTGTGGGTGCCTTCCGGAGAATTTACGGTGGGAGCAAGAGAAATGGAAGCCGCCCACCTCATTTTGGCAAAAGCAGTGGATCTGTTGCTCGCCACATTCTTCAACAGTTGCAGGAGATGAGCATCATTGAGTTGGATCCAAGAGGGTGAGTTTGTGATTGCTTGAAATGGATATGATATGCCTCCTGTGTGTGACGACCCTTTAATCCAACCGTAATAATCAGTGAAGGGACAAAGCTGACTTTAACATTCAATTATGATACAATAATAGAAAAAAATAATAGAGTTAGATCTTACCGAATTTATTGGGTAGGTTTCCCTTGACGAGGCCAGTACATTCACAAGATGCTAATGACGCTGATGTTTTATAATTTACACTTCAGCTCCTATTTGTTTTTGCTAAAAAATATATATTTAGTAGATTTTGATAAAAGTTGATTAAATATGTGCTTGAAAAGTTGTGGTTGTCATGAAATGTGAGATTTAAAATTAGCTGATGACTTAGAATTGAGACTTTTATCAACTTTTTTAGTTAAAACAAACAGGTGCTTACTATTCAACTTGATACGATTATGGAAGGGATATTAGATTTAGATCTTACAGAATTTATTAGCGAGGTTTCCTTCGATATGAACCTGTAGATACCCTGAGATATGCTACTGACCCTGATATTTTATTGGTAAGTTTTACTTTAATATTCAATTTGAAATGGTAGTTGAAGGTATAATAGATTTAGATCTCACAGAATTTATTGGCTAGGTTCAATTGACATGAACCTGGATGTGCCAGAAGATACTCCCTACCCTGATATTTTATAATCAAGTTTTATTAATGGAGCAGTTACTTATATAATGAAACTAATGCCTGCTAACCATAACTGTGAAAAACACTTTTCCAAGATTATAAGCATTGGTGAATTTCTGCTTATTTTTCTCATTTTTATGCTTATGCCGCTCTTCTTTCAGTGGGAGAATTATCACATCCAATGGTCGACGTGACCTTGACCAAGTTGCTGGACGAATTGCAGTTGTTGCACCTTGATAGATAGATTGATTGATTAATTATGTGGAGTTGTGATTTAGAATATTGAAGAGTGTCCTTTGAGTAATCGGAAACAATTTTTGTAAGCCAATGTGAGCATTGTCATGATGTTTTGGACTTAATAGTGCTTGGATATTGAAAATTCTCTTTTTATAGTTTATGTTGACATCTCATTTGCATGTCATAACTTTTAATTTGGGGGAAATTGCACCAGCGGTCCCAAATCTTTGACTTTTTTTGTAGATTTATCTTAATCTTCCCAAACCGTTGAGAAATTATTTGGAGTTCAAATCATTAATTTGATAGTTAGTTGACTGAGAAAAGTAACTTTGATCAATTTTGACCAAATTAAAAGGGATAAAATGGTAAATTCAAGATTTTCACATAAAAACGTATAATAATTGAATAAAAAGAAAGAAGAAATGGAAGAATCCACTCCACGCCGCCCACCCCAACACAAACGAAACCAAACCCATTCCAATCATCAGCTATCGTTGCCGAAAAATGCCTCCATCCAAATTTCTTTTTTTAGCCAATTTTATGTGTACCTGTGTGGATCTATCTGTATTTATATGCATTTGTAGCTATATATTGTATGGATCTGCATAAATATGTATATATTTGTATAAATCTTTATGTATTTTTTTTGGGTTTAATTTTAAATAAATTTTGAATCAATCTGTATGTATTTGTATGTATCTATTTTTTGTTTTTATTTTTGGTTTAATTTTGAATCGATTTGGGAGTTGAATATTTGAAGGCACTTTTGAGTTCATTATCTTCAGAATGTGCGGGAGCTTGATGAATCATCTGTACGTTCTAAATTTCGGCCATCGGTGGATAAAATTTTGAAATCTAAAACCAAACTTGGGTGAATAAAATTCAATTACAGTAGCTTCCTTTCCACTTGCCAGTATAACAGCTAGTGATCTTTGCTTTGCTTCTTTTGGTTCTTCAGGGTTCAAAACCTTCCTCTTATTGTAGATTCCACCACCTAATTGAAATGGGTTTTGTTCGAATATTTTTTTTTTCTGATGAAATTGGGGGTTACGATGCCAAGATTCTTAATTGAATTGAATAGCCATGGAGGCCATGAACTACAGGTGCTAGGGCATTTTGGTTTATGTGTTTACCTCAAGCAATAATTGTTGCGTTGGAGGGAAAGAAGGTGATTTGAGATTATAAGTTCTTGGTTACAAATAGGAGAGCATTAATATGTGTTTGCCAACAGTGGTGTCGACTTTGGATGGCGATGATGGTGACTAATTTTCAGAGGTGGGGTGGGAGAGGGTGTAGGGGTGGGAAGGGGGTGATGAAGGAGACAACCCTTTTTTATTTTCTATGATTTTTTATATTATTTTTTTGATTTATTTATTTAATATAATAATTTTAAACTTACTATTTTACCCTTTTTAATTTAGTCAAAATTGGTCAAAGTTAACTTTTCATGGTCAAATAACGGTCAAATGAATTATTAGAACTCCAACTGCTAATTTCTTAAATGTTTGGGACCTTCGTGGCGGCACAAAGTGAAGGTATTTAATGTAAAGTGCAAAAATGCCAAAGTTTGGGACTGCTTCTGCAATCTTCCCTTCAATATACTGGTCTTTTATTGCTGAAATAATTAGCTTGTTTCATTCCATTCAAGCAAAATGGGGCTGTTTTAAACCCACTTGAATGGTCCCAAATGTGATAAATTCCGCTACATATTTGGGAATTCGTAGCTCTGATTTGTTCCATACAATTTCTTACATTTCGAAAGGTCAAGTTTAATCTTGTTAATGATATCATATCCTTTTATCCTGTCTAAAAGGCAAAGGCACATGGTTCAGATATTTGTTCTCCAGTCTGAATATCTGCAAATTTCTTTTTTGAGTATATTTCTTGGTGATTCTTCAACTGTAAAGAGTAATATTTCTGAGGCAAGCACCTGTTATCGAAAATGATTATTTGGCTATGTAGATTTTGAGCGGTTACAATTTTAGCATGCTAAGCTCTTCCGTTCCCACTTGAGCTCGAATGAATACTAAAAGCGACAGAGAGCATATCCAGGAATCTTTTTAGAGATCATGTTTAACTTCTATGCGCTCGGTGCCTAAGATTTAAGCTATGATGATTAATAATCTCGAGACTCATTAATTTACAAAAGCTGATTCCGAATCATATTCTGATCAGAAGTTTATGAAAACACTTAAAATCAAGTTAAGTGTTTTCCCCCCTTCTTTTTTTTTTAACATAGCAAAAACTAATTTTCTTAAAATCACATATACAATTAATAGAATGGATTGAAAAGCAGAAACTACCAAAAATATTCACTGAGATCGCACTTCATTGCGCCAGCAACACAATATAATCCGTTCTTCCCAAAATTATACGAACTTATTGATTCAAATACAAATGGTGAAAGAAGATCATCAAAAATGAGAAACAGACTGAAATTTGACAATTCTACGATTGGCCTCACCTCAAGCTTCGTTGCAATTGTGTACACAAGTCATTCCCGCGCACTTGATCTTCTTGTTTTGAGGCATATGGAACTTTGGCTCTTTTGGTATAGTCGGTTGCTTCATCGACCTAAGACAAACGAACACAAACATCAACAAATATGATTACTCTTCTTGATATGTCAACTGAAAGAAAAAATTGCAACAATTTATCATTAAATCCCCATGTGAATGGATTGATTGGGAGTTATTTGGGAATACTTTTAATGAATGAATCGTGACTTAATTTCTTGTATATATTTTTTATTAGGTAACTCAATGATAATTTTCAAAGTTCAAGGATCAAATTGTAAATATTTAAAAGTTGATTTGGACCAAGAAAACGAGGATTGAGAGTCACACGGAATCAATTAAATATAATTGGAAGATGAATGACCTCTTCCTTCTATAATTGAAACACCTTTTGACAATCAATTTTTACGCGATAGAACGTGAGCAAACTCACAAGACACCTCTCATCATATCATAATTGAAGGTCTTACAAACCTTTCAAGGACAAGAAATTGATTCCATATATTTCTTGTATTCATGTACATTTAGGATATATCTTTTTAATTTAAAAATAATCAAATAATAAAGTTCGTCTTCATTCAACAAAAGAAAGATACATCATAAATGAGATATTGGGAGGTTCATGATATGTTTAAAACTTTGCAATTTCAACATACAAACAATAGATGTTAGGAATAATATTACTTTACATATGAATTCAGAATAAGAGTACGAGACTGGGTCGTACTTAATAGATTTAACTTACCTCGAGAGAGATAAATTTGGATTATCAATTGTTAAGAATACACAAATCATAAGAGATTATAGGTTTAGAATTGGAAAAAGGATAATATTTGGTGAATTTGAAATTCTAACACATTTTTCTCATATTTAATTTAAAACAATTATGAACCACTTGTTGATAATGTGTGGTTAAAAAATAGAATTTTTTTTAATTTAAGTATAAAATTATTTTATGAGAGAATGTGCGGTTGAAAATGAATTTGGGTGGGNGGGGGGGGGGGGGGGGGGGGGGGTTATAAAACAACGTATAAATAATTAGTAAATAATTTAGACACGAACAAAATCTCTTTTGTGTTACATTAAATTCGATTTTGATAGTAAGTTGATACAATTCAATTTAAAGTTTATTCTTCATAAAACAATACTTTTACTCACTAAATTATTACTTGTCAACAATTTCATGAACTTGCTGGATTTTATCGAACAAATTTTTAGCTCCTTTTTCGAGGAATTAATTTTTTAACTAAATTCATTAATTAGTAATTGGATTCGAAATCACATTGTTGTTTTTGGTTATTTATCACAATCCCAATCTTTTGGGTTCTGTGTTCTTTTTAGGTACTATTCAATAGTTTATGCAAGATTATGACGAGTTTGAGCTTCTATCTTTAAATCTCGAGATCAGGGGAAGGGGAAAGGGAAAGGGAAACAAGTATGGCCGAAAATCAGAATTAGGTTCAAAATCAGTTCCCACTAGTTCAACAAGTTAGAGCAGTCGCCAACAACAATGCCATGTAACTTGGGGACTATTTCAACCGGTAGATCACTAATGAAGATGCTAGTAGATGGATGGATGAAGCGTACGATCTATTTGGCCATCCGATGGGGAGATATTTAAGAAAATAGCAGGGCTTCATAGTATTGATGTAGATGGATGAAGCATTCGAGCTATGTGGCCATCCGATGGGGAGATATTTAAGAAAATAGCAGGGCTTCATTATGAAGCATTGATGTAGTATCAGCTTTAGTAGCCCAGATGTAGGTATTGACAAAGATTATATACACCTCACACAAACAGTGCACATAGTGCTGCATTGTCCAACACAAAAATGAACCCACATGAATAGGTGTCGCCAGTTCCATGTTTAAACTATCACTACACGTGCAGCTCAGTTGCCAAAAATCAGTGTAAAGAAGAATGAGACCTATCATGAGCAAGGAACAAGTGATTCAACCAAAAAATTAACAAAGGACCAGAAAAACATTCAGAAGGATAAGACAACCGTTCTTGCCAATACACGTATACCTCTAGTCCCGTTTTCCCAAAGGTTACAAAACAACAAGCTTCATATTAACATTCCTTTCATCGACGCAATCTTGCAGATTCCTAATCATGCGAAGTTTTTGAAATATATGTTGAATAAGAAGAGAAATTTGCCAAAATATATAGGAGAAAATCAAAACATGCCAGTGACCTTGGGAAAATCATTCTTAGTAATTGAACGTGCATTGATGAATTTTGAAAAGGGTGAGATTATCTTGAATTTTGAAACTTTGCCTACCTCGAGGAGTGCGGAATGATTGATCATAAGATGATTATGGAAATCATCAATACAAAAAAGGAATTGGTAGAGTAATTAAGGACCAATATATGGCAATTTCAAAGTTTGAAGGGCCAAAGATAAATCAGAAATGTCTGTGAGTGCAGTCGTTGTAAGGGTGAGAATTTCCTTCTCAAACCACCATAAATACCCAGAATAACAAACTTAAGCTAATGACTATAAGTAACACTTATTAGGAGGCAACCCAATTTTCTTCCCTTTTATTTATTATACTTTTGTGTGTTAGTTTAGGCATCTTCATCCTTACCCATTCGTCCCTAAATTTTTTTGTTGGTTGTGATGTATTTGAGCTTAATATTAATTGTTCCACATTGATCAATAATGATTAAAATATATTCATTTTGTAGGAGCTGAAAACTAAACATACAAACCACCAAATGACGAGAAATGACACTGTCAAGAGGGCTTCAACATTTTTGTTCCAAATCAACCTCCGCTATCAACATTTTTGCTTAATCAATGATATTTTCAGTTCGAGGTGGGAAAAACAATGAGTTTTTATTACTTTATTATGCATGAAAAATTGAAAAAAAAATTAAATATTTCATTTTTTTGCTTGGCCTTGCTGGCTATAATGAACATATTTGGAATTATGTGTTAGTTTATAAATTGTGAATAAGTTACATTCTTAAATTGATTTACGCTTATCCACTTGAAATTTGATATTCATCACGTACCTGAATTAAGTTTTACATTCTGAAGTAATCAGTTGATTCATCTTGTCAATATCTTGAAATAGTAAAACTTAGATGCTAAACTTGAACATCATTACATTATACAATCGTTAGACCATTTTGTAGTATAGTTCCAGAGTAATTGAATTGTTGTAGGAAGATATTAAGATCAATGAGAATTCTACGTTGAAAATTTTTATGTAGGATAAGATAAAAATTAGGTAAAAATTTAAGTTAGAGGTTAGTTCTTGAGAATGAGTGTTTAATGAGAGGTATTGCATTGATTATTGCATGAGTGAAGGTCACCCTATAAAAGTTCTCAATGAGAACACTTATTGAAAATTTCAAAAAGAAAACTTAAAAAGAATCAAGCTAGTGTATGAAACAAAGTATGCACAATAAATATGAAAAAATAAGCACATGAATCAGAAGACATTATATACATGACTAAACCCCAAACATTTATTTGAGAGGATTAAACTTTTGATAAAAGATTATTAGCCTAGTTGAATCATAAATGTTGAAGTAATCAAAATATAGGAGAATCTTTATTTGTTGAGATATGGCTTGCAATTAGTGAGATTCATTTACAAATTCAGCTTTCGATTTCAAATTCATTTACACTATTAATTATATTTAACAGTATGATTTCAATCCTGAGAGAAACGACATGTTATCTTACTAAAGTTATTGCATGCTTTCTTGTTAAGATATTTTTGTTTGAGAACAAACAAATGTTTAAATTTGTGATATTGATAAGTGTATTTTATGCACTTATCCAGGCAATTAAATGTGAATATTTGGGAGTACTTTGATGAATTATGGCTTAATCTCTTATATTTGTTAAGTAAAACTTAATGATTGAAAGTGAATTTGAAAGAAAGGAACTAAACCAGGTAAAAAAGGACGATTTTCAAAGTTCAAGGACCAAACTATAAATACCCAAAAGTTGATTGGACTAGAGGACAAGGATTGAGGACTACACGAAATCAATTAGATATAATTGGAACTCCTTTTGGAAACCAATTTTTACGCGATTCTTAACCTAATTTCAACCTCTTTAAGAATTTACAAGATACTTCTCATATCAGATTAGATCATAACATAACATAAAATTCTTCCAATTAGGAGAGACAAATTCATCATGACTAAAGGAGAAGAACAAACCTAGCAAGAAATCCAAGGCAAATAACATCAATAATTGAAGATTCAAGGCTCGAAATTGAAGATCAAGAACAAAAAATCGATTCTACATATTTCTTGTATTTACACATTACGGGTGATGTCTTTTCATTATTCTTCCTGTTACCCGAGAAACATGTTAGGCTAGATGTTTTTTGTAATCGATAAAAATGAACCTTATTTATTTGTGTTCTTGATTGAACTTTTATGCTTTGTTAAATTATTTAAATGCTCGCGCATCATTTAGGTAATTAGTTGCTTATTATATTTTCGGGAGGTTCATGATATTTTTAGAACTTTACAATTTCAACATACTAACAATACATGTTAGAAATAACATATATGCGATCATATAGATAATCTTGAGATTTAATGCATTATTTTACATATGAATGCGGAATAAGAATATGATCATGTCGTATGTTTAACTTACCTTGGGAGAGCTACAGTTAAATAAAATTGGATTACCGATTTTCAAAAATAAACATATTACGCTAAATTACATATTTAATCCAAATTAGTAGATATTTAGACCCAAACAAAACAAATCTTTTTTGTTTGAGCAATGCTGCTCATCCAGGCCCAAATCCAGGCATCCACCTGGGCCCTTGATTTGAATTCATGTGGAGCCTTTTTTCAAATCAGGGGCTGAGGAATCAGGGACCTCAGCCCCCTGGATTCTGGTCTGTCACTAACCCTGGCCGACCAACATTAATGTTTTTGTTTTACGTTAAATTCAAGTTTGATAGAGAGTTGATACAATTCATTTCACGTAGGATGACACTTTTACTCTCTAAATTATTTCATGTGACTTGATTATAAGACTTGATTTTTTTTTTTTTTTAATTTTTTTGCCAAAAATAATGTCTAATAGAAAATATGCATTAGGGTATGAGAAACTTAGCCCTGTTAGGCCATAATTTTTTAAAACTAATTTTTTCAAGCTCATTTTCAATTTCACATTTTATGAGAATCATAACTTTTATCAACTTTTCGACCACACATTTCATTTACTTTTATCAAACTTTAATTTTTAAGCAAACCAAACAGGGGGCTTAAAGAAAAGAGGAGAGAGAAAAGATAGTTTGATTCTATCTCAAAAAGGCGCTCTTGAATTCATGCACGAGTAATGAGAGAGATCTAAACAACCAAAGTAATGAAAAAACTAAACACTCAACATTAAATGAAATAGGAGATAATGAGATGATGGTAGTAGGTAGTTTAGCTTCCTCTAATCTCTCAGACATTTATATTTTAGCTAAAAATTCACATTTGTTGGCAGATTATCCTTTTTTAGTTTATTGAACTTCAACTGTTTTTTCATTTTTAATATAATGAAATGATGGAATTTATTTTCCTGTAGAAGTATGCATTATTTGTTTTTTCACAAAAAAGAGGTAATTCTTGAGAAGGCCCTTCCAAACTTTTTCGCCTAAGGTCCCAAAAGTTGGTTGAGCCTGATATGTCAACAACAAGGCATCTTATGGTCTTTTTTTTTTTTTCTGTAAAATGGGATGTGATATACAAAAAACCTACTGGATGAACAAAGATTAAGTGCGAGACACATAAAATAGAGTCGATTCATCATTTATACGAGGATGCCATGCACGATGGAGGTCATTTAATGAATGGTTAGGTTACCTTCTAGGAATGAAGGGCCTGTCAAAATATGGCATGGGTTGAGCTTTTGGAACTAGCTCCTTTCTCAGCCTCCTGATTTCTTCTTCTTCTGCTAACTGTTAAAAGGAGACAGAAATGTGTTTGAATAAAGTAAACAGAAATGTGTTTCTTAACTAGTAATAGAAGTTTTGCTACAAATACCTTCTGCTGTCTCTCTCTTTCCATCCTATACTGTTCAATAAGACTCATCTTCTCTGCCACCTTTTATGCATACACAAAAATGTTAAAGAGATAATCCGTAAACACGAAATTAAATGGTACAACATGAATAACAAGGTGTATATATTTATCAGATAATTAGATTGAAAAAACGAAGCACAACCAAAAGAGAAGGAATCCAAATATTTACATGGTGTGAAGTTAAAAACATAGTACCTTAGCTCGAGTCAAATCTTATAACTAGTTGGATATTAACATCTTCAAAACTAAAATTTGTTTGATATCACTGGAATACAGTCAATAGAGGGGACAAAACAATGGGCTATAAAAACAGGTAGAATCGTTGGATATTAACATTTTCAAATCTTATAACAAGTTGGATACTAACTCTTCCAAACTAAAATTTGTTTGATATCACTCGAATATAGTCAATAGAGAGGACAAAACAACAGGCTAAAAACAGGTAGAATCGATGCATAGAACTGAAATTGCAAAGCATCAGAGACAATTTCACATTTGATAATGTGTTATATAAACTAGAAAACCCATAAACCCTTTCGTTTTCTCCCACACAATCTGTAACACCCTGAAAATTTAGAATAAAATTATTTGTTTTATAAATTTCATTTTATGATTTTTGAAAGTTGAGAGACTAAAATTCAGT